GGGTCCTGTCCAATAGGGAGGAAGCGGGAAAGGAAGCTGCGAACCAAGGTCCGGCCTATTCCATGTCTATCTGTCACTTGTGGGCTCGGACTATTATTCAATGTGTCGGAACCACTTCGTCCAAGCTTTCAGGAAGAGCCTGCTCAAAGTCATTAAGCCTCCCGAGGAATTATCTCCACGGGGGAGAAATGCCGAATTTCCTCTCAGCATTCCCGGGCGGTTTTTTTCCTTCCGTAGATCTTTGCTTGTGACATCCATTAATTGTCTATACGTATTTCTCTTATTCTCCCTAATGACATCGTTAGAATCACTTCTAGGAATCTTTTCGAGGATGTCAGGGACAGATGGAAGTTTGTCATCTGCATAGGCTTGGGGAGAGAACTATGCGTCAGCAAGCACATCACGGAGAGATCGGATACGACCGCAATGCGGAGTTCTTCACTGTACGTCATGCCATTTTCAATTTGTGGAGAGAATTCATTTTGTATATTTGGATCTTTATGCAGTCTTCCAAATGCCTGAGAGTATCTGCAGGATGGTTCCGTCAAAATTAGCGGTAAGACATGTTTCAAATTTGCCTGGTTATTGCCAAAAACGTATACACATGAAAACTTTGACGTCTACTCCGGGGATTGGAAACTGGGGAATGGAGACTGGGTACTCTTGAACGCTTCATCCAGCCTCAAGCTTGATATGGACTGTAGTTGAAACCTAAGGACTGAGATATCTCGCAAAGAAATGTGGGGAAGGGAATGACGAGAGGGGTCACAACCTCAATAAGTTCTCTCCTCTGCCCATTGATCATTAGTAAAGTTTCAATAAATGCAGCATTCCAAAAAATTATATGACACTTCGTCTGGGAGGATGGTTTGAAGGTGCTGAAACCAGTTACAAACCTGATTCAGCCTTCAAGGAGTAATTTTTTGCCATTCCAAGTTAGAGCACCGAGGTAAACATTTTTTTAGCCCTCTCTTGCTGTGCGAAGATCGAATTCTTATCAGACTTCATATCTTTGAAAAAAGATCTAGAATCCATATTTAATCATCCGGTTGCCAGTATGCCTGAGTCCGTCTGCATGCCATCAAGAAGCTATCAAGGTTTGCTCATGTCGTACTACTTCAAATATCACCAACATTTTGGGTACAGCTCACAATAATCCAATATCAAATTTAGTGCAAAATATACTAGCCTCCAAAGAAACGTTAGGAAGTAAGTACAAGGAACAGCCTTTTGAAGCATTTTAATCGCCTGGTCCCTCTGTTGCTGCGTTAGCCTTGGCATATCTTTTATGTTTTTTGGAAACTGTTTGACATGCCCAGGGGAATCAAATAATTTTTTACCTATGGAAATCTGACGTTTACATATAGCATGGGGAAATCCTAAATAGGCATATTCCTGTCGTGACACGTGCACAGCGCTTAATTAAGGTTGACGAGTGCGCGTTGATGATGTTCAGGCAGTGATGAATTGTTCTGCAAACGTTACATCGACGCATCGTGTGAGGTAGATGATCGTCGCTCGTCGTGGTCAACCACCAGTCACCCCATGCGCGCTGCCTCGGTTCTTCATGCTGCATTCTACTCCTTCCTCCTTTCACAATTTCCCTCAATATTTCGCCTGCACCATCTACGACTGCTCTGAAAGGAAGACTCGCCTATGGACTAGGCTTTGCTCAGCCTGTATTTCTAAGAAATGAGTGTCAGGAAGATTCATATCGTTTATCCCTTTTCATTCCTATACAGTACAGATCTACTGTATTAGCCTTGCCAGGATAGTTGGAAACATTTTTTAAAGGGTACCTTATGTAACCACATCACTATGGTTATACTGTAGGGAAGCGTGATATGGATCATTACAGCTAGTTTCAGGAGTGGTAGAGCTTGTTTCTTAACATGGTCAAGTTTATGATTGGGTTGCTTACAAGTGAGATAAATACAGTCCATAGATGTGATGTATTTAGATGTTTCAGAGGCAGTTATTCCTCAGAAAAGATGACTTCTGAAGCTGTCATCTTTAGGGATTCAAAGCGAAATCCTGCTATGGGTAGAGAGGGACGGCTGAGTATTATAAGTCAAAGCATTGTGATTAATGGAAAGTATTTCTCAGCTTCAGAAGTCTTATGTGGGATTCCTCAAGGATTACCTCTTGCTCCACTATTATTTTTTTTATATATTATATTCTTAAATACTTTTAATAGTGACTCTTTTTAATATATGGAAAATAATAAATTTGCCAATGGGATCATAGTAGCCTTTCATTTAAAATCCGGAAAATAAAATGAAAGCTAGAGAGGACCTCTCTCGAAAATAAAAATGGAGTACAGGGCGATAAATGTTTTACCAAAAGGAACTATGTTATTATACATCAAGTGAAAAAAATCTAAAGTCGCTAACTTACATAAGCTATATTGTAAGGTGTAAAGAGGGTATAGTGAGAGATACGGGAAACATAAATCGTGAGTTCTTTAATTTCATGTACGCATGCCCGCTGTATCTTCAAAATTCTGATGTTTGCGGCGCAGTTAAAGTGGCAAAGACGAAGAGGTCGTCTTTCCTTTGCAAATGGAATTTTTCAGACCAATATTAGAATGCAGCCCCCCAGATTGGTATCCTTTAACGGGAAGTATGGCATATAAAAGCAGTTGAACGGGTGCAATGGCGAACACCTTGAATGCTTAGCCACGTCTGAGGGCTATGAAGAAAGGATTTCGTATTCTTGACATCGATTCAATAGGATTATTACCTGGTTGGGACTTTCTAAATTACCATGAGGATTCAGTAGAATATGTCACGTGAATAACTGAAGGTAGGGAGGTTGGATGGACGAGAGAGGACGAAAGAAAGCCAGGGGACGGCCGGGAATTGAACCCGGGCCTCCTGATTGCCGGTCAGGTGTGCTACCATTACACCACCGAACCCAGGACATTCAGTCGTGCCTCTCAACACTGCCTTCATCACAAATATACTGGACCCACCCATATGCATTTTCCACTAGGGGTATTACTTAAATGTACATATGCCTATCGGCAAAAATTAAGACAGGGATTTTTCGCTCATGGAGTAATTAGGGAATAGAATAGGTCGTCTTTGATGTGGTAAAAATAGCAATTGTGGGTTATATTACAAAACAAAAACACAGTAAGGTACTTCAAGAATGTGTTCCAATTTCATATCGTATCATCCCATGTAACTGTAAAATACAAGAAATACAAAAAAGTTCGCTACTCTTTGGAAGCAGTTGATGCGAGTAGGTATCATCTTTCCTTCCTTTCCTCTTTACCCCAATTTCTAGCGAACACAATTTTGGTTAGAGTGAATAGAAAGCTTTGAGATAAAGTTATTTGTTTTTACATAGATGGAATCTACAGATAATTAATAGTGCGATGTGGTGGGCCTTGGACCTCTTTCTTTTGTGTTATCCGTGAGCAGGTGGACTCTGGAGCGATGAGATTTCCAATGATCTCCAATCTCTAATAGACTGCATGGGCTCTGCCCAGCTTCTGGTCTCACCTCGCTGATTTCTCTCTCCCTCATCTATGCTTTCTCTCTCTCTCCTCTTCCTCTTTCTCAGGGATTTGATGTCACATTCAAGGCGAAGCTGTCTGGAGTGCAATGAAAGGCGGAGGGGATGCAGCTATGCTCTAGCTCTTTATTCTAAATAAATAATGTACGGACAGCACTTCGATGTACGGTACTTGAAAATAATGAAGCCATGAAAAGACTGAAATGAAGGCCAGGATTGTTTCCTACCATTCGTACCTGGAAGGATATTCATCGAAACACAATGTGATGGTGGGTTTTGGGAGAAACTTTTACATTCATGGAAAAACAGAATTTTCCCTCCAAGATCTAGTGCGCTAAAATGCTTAGTGCATGCATATATTTTATCATCTATATCACTGAAGTGAAGGACGTCTATCGATGTGGGAGATTCATATCACATGCTACTTAATTCTACAGAATGTCTTGTCCAGTTGGAATGTTATCTAAACTTCGAGAAGGAATGTATTCGAGAAGCTGGTATAATATAAATATAGTAATACGGACTGGAAGTTCTCCAAGACTGACATATCACGTTCTATACGCTACGCGACTTGCTTGTTGTGCTACATGGGACGTAGCTCAACATCCACGGAACCTAGATCCAGATATATTCTTCGGTTCCTTTTACCGTCAATGTAACAGCTGCATGGTCAACTACAGAAACGAGAAGAACCAACTTTCTTTGGTCTGCAGGACTAGCATAAATTGCTTGGAACACTATCTATTGCTTATGCGGGGCACTCTACTTTTCTTCTTGCATCCTTTTTATTGCTTATTTTTTCCCTATAATGCTTGTTGTCGCAGTGACACCAGCTACTAAGTCTCATCATAAAAATATCACAATGGAGACTATATCTAGAAGAAAAAAAAATTATTGCTCTATCCTTGGGCCGTGCCTGGAGTGAGGTTTCACGAGCCCACTTCTCTAACAATTTATTGCTTTCGATACCCGGCAATTTCCCGGAGCTCATCTTCTATCACAGCTCTCGGGAATATATAACCTTGACAACCAACTAGGCCTACTGCCTATCCCTGCCTACACACCTCCTATATAACTTTACCTTTGAATATGGAATTTCATGCACATATTTTCATTTGTACAAGGTTTGCTTTAATAGAGCCGAGAGAATTTCGCCAGATAGATGTTTATCTTCAATTGAAAATTTATGCAAATCTGTGGGGATAGAGGAGATTTCGAAATTCACCGCTGTGTATGCCTTTCTTGAATGGGACCAGAGCCATTTAAGCGTATGTAGCCTAGACCTACTGGGTTCATGCCCGTCTCATGCTTTCGTTTGAAAGATAAGAAACCTTGGGGGAAAGTGCAGTGAGCAATATGGGTTCCCTCCGATGATAAGAACATATAGCACCTGGGGACTTGAGCAATGAGCTTCCCAGTTAGAAAAAACATTCAGTGGTACAAAAGACAGTGGCACAACAGAAGGCTATCCCCGTCCTTTAGATCACTTCCACGGGTTTTAAAGTGGACAAGTTGGTGAAGGACTTCTTCAGAGTGGAAAAGTATTCAGAAGTGTAAGGCAACGGGGACGGTGGATCGGAAGGACTGGGACTACTAGGATCTTTCAAGCAAGCTGATTCCAGGTGCTTGCTCAAATAAGTCTTGAGGGCGAAGGCTTTATGGCAACGCCGGCATCGGAAGCTTTTTGACCCAGAGTGAGTTTGCATGTGGGCGCGTAAGTTGGATCGATCTGCGAAGGCCTTGCCACAATGGGCACATCCGTACGGTCGTTCTCCGGTGTGACTCCGAAGATGGCCTTGAAGAAGCCATGGTCTCGAGAAGGCCTTCCCACAAACGGCGCACTTGTGAGCAAGCTTATGAGTAAGAACGTGCATGGCCAAAGCTGGCATGCTCACATACGCCTTCCCACAAGTCGGGCATTGCCGAGCATCCCCCGAATCCAAACTCTTGTGAGTCTGTTTATGACGAGAGAGGTTGGAGCTAGTGGCATAGTTCTTTCCACATTCCGAACATTGATACTTGCCGTTGGGCTGAGATTGGGGAGCTTCCGGAGCGAGGCGTCTTTTGGATCGACCATCGGAGACGAAGAATTCATCATAAGTGTAGGCGACGGTCTTATCTCTGGCTGGGGAGTTATTGTTCTGCTCGAAAGGGACCCGGACACGAGGTGCTTCCTGAGGGGCTTCGTTTGGCTTGGACAAGGAAATCCGGTGAGGGGAACTTAGATCCAAGATGGCATGAGCTGTTGTGAGGTCTTCCGCTGCCCGCATACACAAAGGAGGCCGGGGGTATGGATTCGGAGGATGGGGAAGGAGATAGGTATTGCCCAGTTTTGGGCCCGGGTCTGGTGGATCTCCTCCGTATCCTCCTCTTTCATCCATCTCATATTGGTTGAATTGAAAAGCCTCCTGATGACTGATGGTTTCCCCTGCAAGGAAAAGAGAAACGTCCTCCATGTTTATCCATTCAGGAATTTGTCAGAGATCCATCCGAAGGGGAATGAAGAATGACCCTATTCACTTCCTCTCATCCCATTTCCCCCTACTCACCATTCCGCCCATTCCTTATTTCCTCTCTGTTCTCTGCGCAGGAAGAAGTTATAGTCAGGTTTGTTTCATTGATTGCACTGGGAGTAACCTCTCCCAGGGCCGAGACTCCAATCTCAGCTTGGCAAGGGAGGCAATCAAGAGTTCTGATGAAAGCGGGCCCGGTTAACAGGTGTCTGGGGAAGCCAAGTGCAATACAATGGGGACATCGAGGCATGCAGGAAACGAGGAAAGAGCTCGCTTGGGGGAAACAGAGAAAGAGGGACGAGAAGGGGAGATATTGGAAATCGATCCTTTAGCGGAGGAAGAGTCATACAGGACAAGGGATGGAGCTCCAGAATATGACACTTTTCCATGATCCACCATTCATGCAAGATATCCCGATGAAGCCCAACATGAGTACTTCTCTTTCATTTGCCTACCACCTTCTCATTTCCTTCTAACACGTTTGACTGCTTTCATATACAGTACCATCATGTTCAGTTTAAATGTGACTTAAAACATAAACGGAGTTCCTTGCAGTCATTCCCAAGGACGGTAAATATATTCACTCTTCATTTGCGTATTATTTGATCAAGCTTTCTCTTTTGTTTGCATTAAATCTGTTCGTCATCATGGTCTCTGTGTGCAGAAGGAATCTCACGATTGAAAAATCAAAATATAATTTAATACTGGAACCCAACTTTGCTCGTATGCTCCCGACTACAATGCGAGCTTCAGTAAGGAGCCTTTGTAACAGAGGTTCCTGAAGAAGCATGTGGGAAAAGGAAGCACTTGGTTCTGCCCCCTGTTGCGACAGAGGACGCGTATTGGTGGCCTGGACTGTGTCTATGGAATAAGAAATCAATTGGAGCGGAGGACAGCATGCAACAACATGAATGAATCAGATCGAAGATTGCCCCGTGACAAGCATGGCCGCCCCCATGAGCCATAGCTTCTTTCTATTTTGAGGATGAAGAATGTTAAATGTTAATTACAAAGGTTAAGCCTACGAGTCTGTATGTAGTTGTTCATTTCTTTTGTCCCTGGTTTCATGATCACGGAATGAGTTTCTCATTCATCATTACCAATGGAAAAGGGGGCAAAGTCCATGAAAGCATTATGACGTTGGAAGAATGCGATAAATACTCATCTTAAATCTCATCATTCTCAGACACTACATTTGAATTCAAGTGAGGAAAGCATACTTTTCCCTGAAGTTGCAAGGAGTGATTAGAGCACGCTGCTGTAGCCATACATTCGGAATTCTCTTACGAAATTCATCGATTATTCAAAATAGGATTTATCCTGTTGTTCCCCTTTCCCCCTTTTTCCATTGAGTCACTCAGTTATTGAAACTGTTTTAAGCGCAACATTTCCCGTAATCAGTGTTTTGAATGAACTGTAATCATATAGATAACTGAGAAAGTGAAGAACAGGTATTATGTACTTACTGTGAATGGGCGAGAGTTTTTCTTTTGACCGCGTGGACCGTTGAGCATCAGTTGAGTTCAACCCGGAGAAAATGAAACCTCTCAAGTATTCCAAAGACTTTCACTTTCATTTCCTTGAATTTACATTTGAGGATTTCGGATTCCCACTCGAAATTTATTCTTATCTCATCATTTGGAAGTGGGTTCCGGTGCAAAAGTGAATAATAGTTTCTAGCAACAGGTGACAGCAAGGTCATATCAACAATATGATCCTCTCCCGACCTGGAGGTATTATGAAATCGGTATGAAGCGTTACATTCCCGAGTCTATGCCTCAAAGGGTCATGTGGGAAGGTATGATAAAGTCATCACTCCCTCTTCCTTCATTGACTAATTTTCGAGAACCTCGACTTTGTCCTCTGTTCTCAGCCGCTAAACACATCGACGATATTCGTGAATCGAATCAAGCAATTGGAAAGCTGAGATCATATATCTGTAATTTTTCGATTCATCCGATCAGAAAGTTTGTCGACTGAGTGATTAAAAAAAGAAATCCCCCTTACAATCACGTTATTCTCTGGGATGGGTTTGTCCATTGGGCAACGGTTGCATCACGCTGACAAAGGAGCCTCAATTTTTAACAGAAAATGGAACCTGAAGATATGAAGCGAGATGTGCAACGAGTAGAATATGCAGTTTGTTCTAATGCTTGCCAGCCTATGGGATTATCTCTTCTTTCGTAATCTCAGTAACCGCCCTGCTTCGTCACCGAGTTCTAGTAGTTACGTCAGAGAAAATCCGTGCTTTCTTTGCGGTAATGATGCAAACCTTTATGAAAATTTGCCCCCATTCCAGAGAACGATGCCATGCGAACAGATTCTTTTCCTTGGACCACCCATTATGAAAGAAACGTTGTAAATATTACAGTGGGTGCATTGACAGCAGTAAGGAATTATTTCCACAAAAATTGGAACTTCCCTGAAGTGCATAAGAGTTATAAGTCACAGTAAGAAAGGAAAGACCATAGACTTACGTGCTTTTTCATCGTTCAATGTCTCGGAGCCAACGTCTCTCCACTCGCTGTTTTCGTCTGCAAAACATCGAGGTGCATAATGATTGTTTGAATGTCCAAATTCTTACACACATTGGCCTAAGTTATAGGTGGATTAAATCCCAGTGATGCCTAAATCCGGATCACTACTTACGGTAGTTTGAAGGGCTTCGTGATTCAATTCAGGGTCAGGAAACTCGATTCGAGATTCGCTGATCCAGAGGAAATATTCTAATAATTTCGAGTCTTTTTTTATATCGAGATTCGACTAAAATAAAAAAATTACATCTGAATGGTATTATTGAATATTATAATTTGGTTACAGTGGGTCTCAGTTACCGTTCTGATCGTGATTGTAACATGGAATTGGTTTATTTGCTTGTTGTGGGTTATTCTTTTTACAATACCCTATTTTTCCCAAGTATGATTTAAAAATATTCCATTTGAAGATGGAAGTATACGATTCAGATTTGATGCCAGAGCCAAGACAATTCATGAGCCACGATTCGGTTCTCGGTTTAGAATGAGGATGTGAAAGAGATTCGGTTCGAATCTGAAAAAAAAGGAATCGAATGTCATTGGGATGAGCCCACAAAAAAGTTTCGCATTATCGTGCACAATGCATAGGAAATTCAGAAGCCTCACTCTGAACGGTTTCAAGTTCGTCAGTGATATGAAATTCTCATGATGCTAACTTGTGGTCGAGGGTAACAAACAGAGATTCAAAAGCGACAACTGTCAAGGTTTTCTGCGGATATCGAGTCGTGATCACTGGTTGCTCATTGTACAGGAAATGTGTGGAGTTAAGAAGACAACTTGCTGTAATTATGCCTGAGTGATGAGTACCGCAGTCCTTTACACTCCATGGCATAGTCCTCCCTAACTGGGAGGATGAAAAACTCCAAGAATAGAAAATAGGAAAGTTTTTTTTTTAATATTGAGTTACATTTGCTTTGAACTGATCGGCAAATTTTACTAGACCCTATGCTCCTCTGTCTCCTACAGGCACAGCTGTGAACTCAGTGAACAGTGAACTCCCAGACTTTTGGGGAAACTTCTCAAGTTCCGTCTCATAAGTACTAGAAAGTAATGACATCCTTCAGTATAAAATAGGGAACGAATCGTGTGGGGTCACGCCAATAAAATCAAGGAAAGAAGTCTCCAGGAAGTATGAATCACCTTTCATGGCATTAATCATGGATCAAGTTTACTCGATATTTTGAACTGGAAAAGATACCTTTGCATGGGACATAGGCAGGTCTCTGCCTTGTTCTGCTGCTGTCTGAACTCTCTCCCGAAGGATATCTCGTTGATTGGATATCGAGGGAGGAGGGAGATTGGGCATTTAATTCAGGTTTCTTTCCTATTATTTTTTCGAAGCTTTGACTTTGGAGTCTTTTTTTTCTATTGCTACGTCTTCTCTTTTTTGCCCTATTCTTCTGCATCTGGGATGGAGTCATTCACTTTGTAGTAGTTACAGTCACAGTTAAGACGAAGTTGGTAATGACAGTGATTGGTGAAGGAAGAAATAACTGTCGAAAAAGGTTTTCATGAGTCTTATTTTGAAGTTAAAGGATGGTTTAGCCGAGGTCTATAAAAATTCAATGGTATGACGTATTTAAAAAGGCTTTTCTCAAGCAGCCCCTCTACCAAACCACAGACCCCGATAGTTATTCCATTAACTATTCCAATCACAGCTCTTAATCGGTGGAAGATGATGTGAAGATGACAATGGCAATGACGGATTATTTGCCTTGTTATCGGATAAATTTGTGCCGTAACTCATGACCCAGTCGTGATAGTGGGGCGAGTAGGCTGAAGGGATTCTCCCGGAGACCCTCGTAATGAGGACGAAGGATAAGTGAGATCCTGTATTGAGTAGAAGAGAGATTTTCCACTAAGAGAACCCATCATCATAAATTATAATGCCTGGGAAGGCTCGCAGCAGTGAGTCATCCCGAGAGCTTCGCCAGGCTGCATTTCGCTTCCCCCCCCCCCCCTTCTCCCTTCTTCCCCTCCACAAGCTCGGGATCAATCCACAGGTTGGAGGATATCGGCAACAGGATTCCTCCCTTCCATTTTGGAAACCCTCCTCCCTCCCGCTCCCTCACACACACACAAATGCTCCATCACCTCACTCTTCTTCGTTGTTCCGTATAACATATTATGACACATTGATAATGGAAGATACAAGCTTACCGTGTTCACCTTGATCATGGAGCGCGAGAGTAGAAGGGAACTTCTTGACCACGAAGCATCTGGGCATGGTCGACAGACATTTGGGGAGAAACGGGGAGAAACAGAAGGAGGGGAGGAAGGAAGAAAAGGGAAGAAGAGAGGTGATCGGGAAGCTGGAGGCATACGGTCACACCATGATGTCTTGATGGAGGGGAAATACACGGGAGAAAGTGGGGTTGGAGTGGTGTCCCCCCCACCCAGCCCAAGGGG